CGAAATGGTCCGCATCCGCCGCGGGCGCGCGGGGAATCGGCCCTATGCGCTCGTTAGGCGATGGCTCGCGCGCGGAAAACGTGACGGCGGCGCCGCCAGGGGGCGCGCGCGTTCATCTTCATTAGGCGCCGCTAAGCGCTTCCGTCGCCGCCTTCCACGCGGGGCGGCGGCTCGAGGGGACTCCCCAGGAAGAAAAAGAAAGGAAAAAAAATAAGGTCTTTGCTGGATCGCCCTGCGGAAATAGTGTTAATTTCGCTTTTGCCGATGGTACGATCAGTCCGCTGTTGGTGCCTGTTTCCACTCTATAATGAAATTTTAAAATTGAGGGATTCCAATTAAGGAAATTTGCAACTTTTCCGAGAACATTTTTAGGTTTTATTCAGAATGTGCAGTGTGAGCGAAGTTCGTTTCTCTCTTTAATTCGTAACCCTCGCCTCAAGTTTTTAACACCCCCTTCTGAAGAAAATGGATAATTAGCATCCTGGATAACTGATATTACAAATATCAATGAAAGGGATGTCAAGGACATGGAAATGACAGGGAAAGTGGTCGGGAAAGTCTTAAGGTTACTAATGCAATTTTAGCCATAAGAAAACGTAAGTTTTGTAAATTTAGACATGCTTTAGTTTCTGTAAGCGCTTCTTGTTGCTTTCTACACAATCCTGTGGTTTTATGAACACATTTAAACAGTGTTTCGATCATATTTGTTTGTGAAAGATTTAATATCCTTATTTTAGATTTATGAAATAATGGTTAGCACTATTTTTCCCGTACCCCTTCGATTATCAAATACGTTGTGTTAATGATATATGAACAAAATTAAGTTCTTTGAAGTTCTTTGTCAGAAGAAGTAAGCTGCAGAATTAAGGATTATACGGGTGCATATTGCAAACCCGTTGAAAGAGCATAGGATCAAAAGCGTAAAGAAGAATGAAGTTTTTAAAAGGGCAGGAATAGTCCAGGAGTGTAGGAAAATTTGAGAGAACGGGCTAATTCGATATTATTATTATTATTATTATTATTATTATTATTATTATTATTATTATTATTATTATTTTGTTTATTCTCAAAGTTTTTGGTTTCACATGGATACCACACAGATACAATATCAGAGCATGGTAACACAGACATATTTAAAATCTACAAAATAAATTAAGGAATTCTAACACATAAACATAAAATAACTGTTTTCAGATTGTAAACATAGAATAATAGTTTTCAAATGCTAATAACAAATACAATTTCAAGAATGAGCTTTCAAAACCCAGCATGTCCTCCCATAAATCTCCTGACTAGTGAGCAGGTGCTGATTATAACAGACTTCTGTAGGCCGATAATGATGCTCTTCTCCAAGGAGAGTTCTTCAAGCGATCTGCAGAGAGTTTTTGGTATCACGCCAGTTGCTGATAGTACAATTGGGATTGTTTTCACTTCTGACCCTCGCCATTGTTCTTTAACGGCAAATACTAGTTCTCTGTATTTCTCGATTTTAGTCTGGTATGTTGTCATCATGTTGCTGGTATTAACGACTGCAACATCAATAAACCAAACTTTCTTTGCAGATTTGTCCCAAAGAGTAATATCAGGTCTGTTGTGCTGAATTGTCCTGTCTGTCAGAATACTGCGGTCCCAGTATAACTTATGTGTCTCATTTTCTAGTACCGCTTCTGGATGATACTGGTAGTATGGTGCATCCACTTTCTGAGGTAGCCTGTGCTTTTTAGCTAGTTTGGAATGGATGATGTGGCTCACTTGATCGTGTCTCAATTTATAGTCGGTGGGAGCTAGACAGCTACAGCCTGATATAATATGCTGAATGGTTTCACGATCTCGACCTCACATGCGACATGCATCAGTTAGTACTCCTGGGTCCTTGATGATATATTTTAGGTAATTCTTTGTGGGAATCACCTGATCTTGTATTGTTATTATTATTATTATTATTATTATTATTATTATTATTATTATTATTATTATTATTATTATTGGAAAGATTAGGTCGTTTATTGGAACATTTGTTGTGTAAGAATGGTATCACAGTTACACTTCTATATGTGAGATGGGGAAAAACATTCTTGTGTACTCAAGTCCAAGTTCTCTTATTTGCTTGACAATTTGTACGTTCACACTTT